CTCAACACCGTGCGTGAGGCATCCAAAGCTCTGACCCCCTTTGCCCTTCCTCAAGAAACTTGGCGAGGCCGTTGGGCCCACCCTCTTCGGAGCTGCGCCTGGAGCAACTGACAAGGCTGACCGAGCTGCTTTGATGTTCCAGTGAAGTTCTCGGTTGCGCGAAGAGATGTCTTGAGAATTGCAGATCGGCCCGTCGCTGGATTGCTCCAAGTACTCCGCAGCAGCCTTGCGACAGCGGTGCCGCCAGCCAGCGTTGACTAGACACTAGTGTCATCTATGGTCATTGGCATGCGATGCACAGGGACAAATGCAATGTGGCAGGTTGGCAGATGTAGAATGCAGTTATGTTATACATATTTTTATTTGTGTTGCAGTGTTACTGAAGATATTGTCATTTCTGCGCTTACGTCCAGCAGAGGAACGCATCATGATACATTTGTGCGCTCCAGGATCTTTGGCGCGTTGGGTTGGGCCCCTGTTGATCGAGGGTGTGCGAAGCGATGGCAAGTCGGAGTTTGAGTATAGGTAATGTTTTATCTCTGAATGATTTATGAGCTAGACAGCTTGCACGCAGGTGCATTCGCACCTGACATGCAAAGGAAACACTGAGATGACTGCCTTCGCATGCAGAAGAAGGAAAACTTACAGAATTTTCTAGTACTTTTTTAACGTTGGCCTGGCGGACGATGCCGTGGGCCTGAGGTGAACTGGCAGCGACTGGTCAGCATTGGCCATGCAACCCATTGGCACTGTGCCGTAGCGGTTGTGGCATCGTGTTTTGATTGGTCTCCTCTTTGTGTGCGCCCATCATGGTCTGTCCAATTTTGAGCTCAGGCCAAGAGCAAGGAAGGCCACTGGGACAGAACATGTTGAGTAGTGCATGGCAAACTCATTAGTGCAAGTCAACCACACTTTGTGCCGCAAACGCTGCATCTGTAGCAGATGCCACAGATGCCGCATATGCCGCAGGTCTCATCCAGTTTTGGTACTTCATTTGTTGCTGGGCTTTGTTGTGTGCTGGGCACGGGAGGTTTGGTCGCACGGAGGTCTCATCCCCTTTGGTTCTTCAACAAACCTTCAAAGGTGACCAAATTGCTTCAGCCCCTGACTGTAAGAAAAGGTTCGAATTGAACCTGCATTTTTTAGGTAAACAGTAAACTACGAATTGAACATGTATTCTTTCCGATGCCCGATGCCTGTTTCTTCGGATTCGGAGTGTTCGAGCTGCTCGGCCACGGGCGACTTAGAAGATCATTTTGGAATAACTTTTTGTTATCAGGTGAAGGAAGAACCCACCGAAGTTGACCCACTGACTGCAGGGCACCTCTAAGTGCATGAAACATTCAGAGTGCTTAGTACTTGTGCCGGACTTGCTTACCAAGTGCTGGACCTCGGGGTAGTACGCGCTGTAGTACTCCACTCAGGCCGGACCTCGGGCAGCAGCTGGAAGTGGCGGGGGCTCTTTTGCCGGGCCGATGCGATCTGCGCTTGGAGGGAAAAGGTAGATGAAAGATACAGATGTGATATGAGCATCTGTACTTCTTTGCGAACCGTGTAAAACCCCCTGCAAAAACAACTCGTATTGAGTGGTACGATGGAGCGACTGACGTGTGAAAGGCTCGCGCGTAACCTCATTCACTATTTTCCTGCAGCCGCGATGTTCTATTTGCAGGCTGAAGCACGGATGCAATTGGCTGCGTCAGCATGTGACACTTGGACTGTCGACCGATGGGCTTTAACATGGGTTTCATGCAAAATCTCTAAAGTCATTGTTTTTACACAAATAGCTTGGTTCTTACTGCAAGTATAAAAAGAGGTGCCCCTGTTGGTGCCGCTGCCAGATGTGTGGCTGTGTCCGCTTTGGAGCTTGCTGCAGGGTGCCACCGCAGGGTGCTGCTGCGAGATGTCGATGGTTGTGTGCGTTGGTGAGCTTGGGTGCTGCCGCTGCAGGGTGCCAGATGTGTGTGGCTGTTTGCGTCTTGAGCCTGCGCGCTGGTGCCGCTGCAGTGGTGCCGATGCAGGTTGCTGCTGCCAGATGAGTATGGCAGTTTGAGCTTTGGAGCCTGCGTGTGTCGATGCAGGCTGCTGCAGGGCGCGGCTGCCACATGTTTAAGTTTGGAGTGTGCTTGCTGGTGCTGCCCACAAATGCCTTTTGCTACCGGTTTTTCTTGGGAGAGGGGGGTGGCCCGACCCTGCAAGTCCAACTTTTTCTTCTTGTATGGCTTGTGTTATGTTTGTAGCTGATGGAGAATACAGAACACTTCCCCCTTGCCATTTTGCTTTGTGAAGATGACCTGCCTGGATAGAACTTCGCCCATTCCTTTGAACATGTCCAGTTCCTTTCCCAACTCACGATACGAGCTCCTCATTCACTCACTTGCGCTTTCATGCTGGTGTTTTTCAGTGTTTGGCCTTGACCAACGTGCTTTGAGGCTTGCACTTGTGGTTTTCGTGTTCAGCAGCCTTTGTTGGTTGGTTGCCTTTGCACCTTGCTTGCACCTTCTTCAGGTTGCACTGTGCAATGTTCTTAGGAAGTTGGCTCCTGTTTTTTTCGGCCAAGTGATTTGAGTTGTCACGTCATCACGCAACGAGGTGCTTTATTCCATCGCTTTTGCTCTTTTGTGGATCCTCACCGGTCTCCGAATCACTCTGTACTGGCTGCTGGCCATCATCAAGGCCAGGTCCGCAAGCGAATCCAGTCCGCTACAGTGTAGGGCAAAACTTGCTGCATGAACATTTGACTTGTCAGGGCGCTGTGATGATCTTTTTTTCGATCCTGGATTTCATCAAGAAGTGCATCTTGGAAGTCAGAGCTTTCCCTCTTTCTCTTCTCGAGGTTGTTATGCCGTGAATAAGAACCTCAGGTTCTGGTTCCAAACTCGCTCGGCATCGCTCCGCTTCCTGCTCACCGGCTCAGGTATGGTGGTGTGGTGGTTTTTGCCAGATGTGGAAACTCTGTGTGCGGGCTGCTACTACTGTGTCCTATGGCCGAAGGAAGGGCAGTGGCCCAAACAGGCAGGTGTTTCAGATTCTCGAGATTCATGACACATCAATCAAGAGTGACAACAACCAAAATCCGCACTGAACTATACTGAACTTGGGACCGTCACAAAAGATCACAAAAGTACGTGCAAATCAGATGAGGACTCCTAGTGGGAGGGTGAATGGAACCGAGTTTTACAGTACAGTGGGGTGTATTTGGTTCTTCTTCACCTTTTGAGAGAACGCATAGTTACCACAGCCGCTGCCAGATCTGTGGGCCCGCACCAGCCTTCAATGCGTGGGCGAAGCACCTAGAGTCACTCTAGTGCCCTGTGCTTCCGACTTTTCAGTCGAATTGAGGATTCTACTATATATATAGTAGTTTCTTGTTGCTAATAGCGCCCTTGTTACTACTAGTAAGGCACTTGTTACTAGAAGCGATGCACTTGTTCCTAGTAGTTTCTTGTTACTACTAAGGATATACTCGTTTGCGGCGATCGTTGATTTGCCACTTCAGAGTCACCACCGAAGCGGCGAGGTAGAGCCGTTAACATGCTAGCTCAGGTGTCTCCCTTCTGCCCTCATTGCTACTAAAGCGAGCTCAGCGGCGAGCAAACATTGGCTGCTCATGTGCTTTGTGCTCTCGAGCTTGGACGCTTCTCATGAATTGACGCTTGACACCGATTCTGGTGGATTTGGGTCCGCCTGGCTGCCACCGTCATAGCTCTCTTTGTGAAAATTTTTGTCCGCACATGCAGAACGGACTGGAATTGTTTGGCCCCCACCATGAACGACGTGCGTTTCGGCTCGAGAACTGGAGTAGAACAGAATACAGCACACTTGGTGACTCACCAGACCACTCATGTCACCAGACCACACGTCTGGCACACTCAAAACACTGGCTCCACAACGACTTGCCAAGAAAACCAAGCTTCGCAACTTGATCGACTTGATCTCAGGGTTTTCGCCAAGAAAACCAAGCGTGGTCTTTGATTTTCTTGAGGTTGGACGATCTTGATGACATGGATGTTAAGGTTGGTGGGTCGGCCGTGTCAGCCGCCGAAATGGCACTCCCGAACGCATAGCCACTCGAAGGCCCTGACGCATAGCCCATCGAACGCATCTGCCGCGCCCCGACGCACCGACGCCAACAGCAAGCCATGGCACCCAAAGGCGTCTTGGAGCTCAGCCACCGGTGTCAGTGCAAAATAGTTTGAAGGGATTTGTCAGGAAACGTGCCAAACTGAGCAGAAAGGCAGCTTAGGCCTTTCCCATCCACTAGGATTCGATTCGCAGCTGGACCATCGTAGAAGTTGGACCATCGCAGCTGGACTCGACGCCGGTGTTGCCAAGTTACCCCCATAAGTCCAGCGGAAGTTAATATTTTAACATAGAGTGGTTTCAGAGTAGATGGCGCAATCCCCAAGAGGTGGTTTATGAGGACCCCCATATAAAAGACATCTTGGGGTCTGTGCCGTCTACTCTGAAACCACTATAATTTAACCATATCCCGACCCCAGGAGCTGTCCAACCGCTCCAACCGCCCGACTGAGATCAGCAATCGGACGCTTTTGGCGAAGCAAAAAGGCGCTGGGGGTACATCAGAATCCAGCGTGATCGATGGTGCACAGGATCGTGTCCAGGGTGCGTGTTTGCAAGTTGCTCAAAACTTGACTGCGTGTAAAAAGAGAGCAGAAGCAACGGGTAGTGCAAGTGTGACACGCTTCAGAATCAGAGCACATACAAAATTGATACACTCCAACTCACTAACATGGAAATGGAAAACCCACTGGAAAGTAGTCTTCGAAGGGGCCATTTCCATTTGCATGTTACTGTTAGTGAGTCAGAGTGTATTTGCATATATTGGCTCTCTTTTTCGTTCGCAGCTTGGAGCTGGTGGGGTGGGGACCAAGCATGAATCGCAACCTGAAGAAATGCCTTGGGGCTTTTGCCACCTTGGGGCTTTGCCCATCTTTATAGTGTGTCTCCGAGTGTCTCCTCCCCCGCCAGGCATCAAGATGGGTATGAATGTGAGCGTCACTTATCGAGAGGACCTGATAGCACAGACCAGACTGGAAGACGATATTCCTCTACGACCCAGTGGGTTTCAGGTTCCAGGTGAAATCTTCCAGGGCGTACGTTTTTCATTCTACTGGTAGCTAAGGGCATTACTAGTAACAAGGGCATCGCTATTAGTAACAAGGGCCTTACTGATTCTGTGATTGACCACATTGTCATCCCTTGCCAGGAAGGCAAGGGCTCACTGCTGAAATACGAGGGCATCATGGCCGACCGCCGCATTGGCGGCACTGACCGAGAGTCCTATGTTCGGGACCTGGATTATTGTGGCTCAGAGATTTTCGGGGTGAGATAGAACATCAGACAATTGACTGTTCAACATTGCGCAGAATGACCCATTCTCATGTGTTATTTTTCTGTCCCTGTCAGATTGAGCTGAAGAACACCATCTTGATTGGAAAAGAGAATGAAGTTGTGGCTACAGACTCTTGGCCGGGTGATCTCCAGTCATTTTCCTGGGGATGGGACTGTGCAAACGCCGCCTGCCGAGGAAGGTGTCAAGAGGTTCTACGACGCCTGGATTGAAGACATGGACCAGGCAGAAAAGAGGTGCGACGCCAAAGCTTCGCTCGCTCGTCCTGGACAGACCCGCGGCGGTGAAAGACATGGACCGTGGCGGGTCGCAGCGGTGAGTCCGGTTTGGTGACCCATCTGGCTCGCATCGACAGCGACAAAAGCACTCAACAGCAAGGCATGGGCCACGTGCTAGTGCACGCGTATCACATCCCAGTTGCCAACGCAGTGCCAACGCCAGACTTCCCAGGTTGCCTCAAGAAATCACCACGGCACAAGCCGCAGCGGCTGCACGGCGAACGGTCGGGGCACCTGGAAACAGGAAACGCTTGGAGGTGCCCGTTGTGGCATCGATTTGGCTCGCGGGAGGAGGCCCACAAAAGATGTTTAAACAACACGGAGATTCGGAGGGCTCTGACTGCACAAAGCGAACCACGAAAAAAGGGTCTTTGCACTTCGGACGGCTGCCCCAAAAAAGCGTCGTACTTCGGACCAAGAGCCTGGGTCCGCGCCAGGCCGCTCCACCGCGACCAGAGCGAAGCTCCTTGGACTTGCCAAGTTGTGTACATCTAAGGCCCTTTGGCTGTGGGTCACAACCCTGTAACACTGGTTTTGACCTACAGCCATACCGTTTCAATCGGTTGGTTTCTTCTTGTCTCGCTTTGGTGTGTTCGAGCAGCTTTGAGGGCCCATTGTCTGGGCTTAGCAACCATCCCCCGTCGAGACTTCAAGTTGCCAAGGCAGCTGTGGCTTAGACTGTGGAGGCCAAGCCGGGCACGCAGCGTGCGATTTCGACTCCCTGGCCCTCCATAAATAGGAATCCTGAAATCCTAGCACAAGGCACCTTCAGGTATTCAAGAGGGATGAGGAACCTCATTCTCTTTCGATCTGATGCATTGCGCACTGAAGAGCATGGGCAGTTTTGCTTTCCCTGGCTGGAGGCTGTGGATGCCTGGGTGGCCAGTCTGCAAGCTGGGGCTCGTGTTTATCACGCCCATGATGACCACAAATGGTAAATTTCACACATTTCCAAGAGTCAATGTGTGGTAGGGGCCTTTGACCTGCTACTGTACTTCCGGTGTTTCTCTTGAGGTATGCCAGGTATGGGAGGTTGCGGCTGCGGATGCGGTTGTGGCCCTTGCGGCTGTGCTGGCGGTTGTGGCTGCCCCTGTGCTGGCTGCGGCTGTGGCTGCGGCTGCGGCTGCGGCGGCTGCGGCTGCGGCGGCTGCGGCTGCGGCGGTTGTGGCGGTTGTGGTTGTGGTGGCTGCTGCGGCGGCTGTGGCTGTGGCGGCTGTCCAGCCGGTGGCATGTCTCCGAAGCTTTCACGGCAAGTGTTGGCCAATCCAAAGCATTGTTGTGAATTCGGTGCGTCCGTTCTGTAGAACCATGGAGCCTCACAAACCATCTGAGGATGATGAACCCGATGATGGGTGGCGGCCGTGGCCCTAGTGGGCCCTGGATGTTGGGAAGCAGCAAGTCCTCACAGTTGTGTTGGATGTCAGAGTGCGCCAAGGCCGTACAGTAGGTTCTCCATGACAACGGGTCAGATGGACTTGCATCTCACGTCAGTTGAAAGGATAACTTGCGCTTTCATTTTGTGCCTTATGGACTACCAGGTGGCATGAACCCCATGATGGGCATGATGGGTGGCATGAACCCCATGATGGGGATGCCTCACCTGCCTTGTTTGTGAAGTCCAATGGGTCACCAGTGTCTCCAAGCGAAGGCCCAGGAGTTAGCTTGCATGGAAACAATAGCAATATCCACACTGGGAAAACTATGCAGCAGGCGAGAGTTCAAAATTGCCAAATAGCTACCACCACTCTGGATCTTGAATCACTAAGGCTTGGGAAAGTAGAAACTGTCGACGCTGATGCTCTTCATCGTTGATGTCATAGCAAGTTATTCAGGAAAATTGAGTGTGGCAGGAAACAAGCTCCTTTCAGAAATCCTCAATTTGAGAAGCTGGGACGAATGAACATGTCGAATCCCATGAGAAGCTGGGAGCAAGCTTCTCAATTTGACTATTTTCAATATACATTATGAAGCTGGGCCCTGTGCCAGGATGAACCCCATGGGCATGGCCATGGGCATGGCGGCCATGATGTCAGCTGCGAATGGCCCGGACACCCGGGCTCCTCTGGCACCGCATGGAAGACGGGGAAGAGGTTCATTCCGAAGGGCTTCACCGATTCTGCATCAATCCTCCTTTCCCGCGGCTTGATCTGTGCGGGCATGAGCAGCCCTCTGAGTTGGCTTACACGGTCACACTGCCGCAGGTTTCCATCAGCATTGGATCCCCACCAAGGCATGAAGAAGGACGATGATGAAGACAGTGATGAGGCCAGCTGCTGTGAGATCAATCCGTGACTCGCTGGCTTGCGAGCCGTTTCGCGAACGAGTCTCCCTTGAACATGGACTCCTTTCGATTATTCTTGAGTGTGACTTGGCCCTGTGAACCTCCCCTCCCTGTTCAAAAGCCTTGAACATATGCAGCGATGAACATATACCCGAAGTCATGGCTCGCTTCTTCGCCCTCGAACTCTTCGCTCTGAGGAAGAGGCCCCAGAACCTCAGGTTGAGGAGACCAAAGGCGTGGGACGACGGGTGCGATGAGGAACACCAGACCGTGCCGACCGTTTGGGTGCGAACCGCTCACCAGGCCCACCTGGCCCACCAGGCCCACCTGGCCCACCAATCAACAGCTTTAGTCATTGAGAAGTTTCACCTCTTGCCTTTAGTCGATGAGCTCATCGAAAGACCTCATGTTTGGCTTCGGCACATCGACGGCCGACGGTCGGACGTTCCAGGCTTTAAGGTTCCTGGCGTTCCGGAGCATTTGGTGCTCCCAGGTCTCAAGGGTCAAACAGAGTGCCTTGGCTTCAGGTTCTTGCGAAGATTGGGTCTAGAATACTGGTGGGAATCCATTTGGATTGTGTCCATAAAAAGGGTGGAGGGTGTACCACTGGTGGAGGCTTTGCTTTAAACAATGGTGTACTTCGTTCCAGGGCCCACCGAACGTCCGACCGGGCCGGGGTCGACACCAGGGTCGACTCCAGGGCAACGACGGCACCAGCTGGTTCTGCCGCAGGGGCACCGCTGCCCTGAGGTCTCAAGATGTAACCAAAGAGTTGCTGAGCATCGACGAAGGGGTGCGCAAAGTGGGAACTAACTCCATGCTCTGAGGATGTATACCAAAGAACCTTATACAGCAAATTTTGTATATATATATATATGTGTGTACGTTTTCTATTTTTAAGTTTATATTTTTGTTCCAGCACAGTGCACTTGAAGAAAGCACATGTTGCGGCCACATGCAAGTTAGGCTTTTCGCATGCCAAGCCGATCAGCCCGAGCCTTCCGAAATCAGGCCCATGTCAGCGTGCGCTACACGCACCCTCAGCTGGGTAACTGGGCCATGGGCGGGCCCGGCGGGCGGGTCCACACAGCACCGTGAGGGCGAAGGACCACGGTGCTGTGTCGCAGGAGGTCTTTAGGAAGCTTCATGTCTCAGTCGATTGTGTTGCCTTCCTTTCACAAGCGTGTAGGTGTGGGAGTCCAGACAGAGTGCCAGCTTAGAATGCTATTCAAGTAGCGCAGCTGAGGTAAGACAGTCTACGAAGGCACCCTGCAGGAGAAATTCATTGGGACATGTACGAGTCAGCAGGGCGCCCATGGAATGAAGGCATCCTAAGTAAGGAGTTGAATGTGTTTGGCTTGCCACCTGCGCGCGTTTTCACGCCTTACTAGTTGTTTTTATGCTGACTCTCTTAGATGTCCAAGGCAGCGGTCATTTAAGGTGCAACCTATTGGCGAAGCTCAAAGCATTTCTTGACACATTGCAAGTCTGCCGAACCAGCATGACTTGCAAAATCGGTGGATGAGGGGATTTGTGGCATCAAAGCACTATGTTTTGCAGCCCTGAGACCCGAGGTCATACATCCAGCTGTCCCAGTGCAGAAGATACAAGAACGGACGAACGGAAGAGGAAGAGGCATTGCACACAGACACTGTGACATCAGAATGCACATGTGGTAGCTTTTGCATTGCGGCCATGTGAGCATGTCATTGTTGGTGTGTTGCGTTTGCGGGGTCTTTGGGCCTGAGTGAGTCCAAACCACCAGTCCTTATTCATGTACATTTGTATGTCTTAACATAAAACAGATATTTGGGTGACTTGGCAAGCACGAAGCGGCTGAAGACCTCTGCAAACCAGACTTTGCAAGCGATTCCTGGGCGGCTGTTTAGATTTCAAGGATGGTGAGCACATGATCCACGAAACGCAAGCCGCATGCTTCCCCAAGCTGGACGCCCCCCCCCTAGCCTTTTCCATCTATGAACGTGTCTTCTCTTGTGTCCTAGAAGGCTGGATGCTGAGAAAGACCGGCGAGACAATGTGGATCTTCTTGGGCATTGGGCTATCCTGATTGAACGAAACGGGCATGGCGAGACAATGTGAGAAAAAAGTATCCACTTGAACGATAGCCCGCCACTAGCTGCCGACAATCCACCGTAGTGGTGATGGCCCGCCGCTGTTCTGCGCCCTACGACGACAGTCACTTGCCACGGCTGCTGCATCAAGGCATCGTGGCTCAAAGAGATTATGCTTGCTGCACAGAAAGTTTGGCCGGTGGCTGCTTGAATTCCAAGCTAGGATGGCAAGATGTAAGCCTGGCTTGAAGCTGGTTTAAGATCCTTTTGGTGTTAAGTCAACTCTTCCAGAAGTGATCTGATTTTGTCCTCCACGCTTTGAGGGAGCAACTGCAGCAAGGACAGCAGCAGGACCTGCGTTTCCTTTTTCCTCCTTTGCATGTGATCCAGATGCGTTGACGATATGAATGCACCATAATGAATGTGATCATGGGATACGGGCACCCACCTAATCAATAGGGGAGACCCTCTGAGGCGTAGGGAGATGGTGTGGACCGTGTGCCGGCCGACAGAGACGTCTGGCTTCGGTCCCCAACGGTTGAGTTCCGAGTCTACACCACCACCCCGACCCCAGGAAGGGAAGTAGAACACAGCCTCCTTGAAGGCAGATTTTTGCAGGGGATTCACTAGGTAGCTAAGTCACTAAGTGCCATTGGCAATGCAGGCTTTGTGGTCAGTTTCCAGCGCTCAAGCGCTGTTGTTGAATCATTTTGGCCTAGCCTGGCCTTCTGACAGAGTTGCGGGCCAGGACAGCCAGCAAAGGCACACCACTGTCGGCTAGATCTGGCAGGACAGATGGCACACTTCGACTCAAGAACATGTTGGCCAATAATCATTTTTAATGGTCAAAATTAAGCGCATTGTTTTTGTTGAAATTCCCAGTTCCGTGATGAGGACATGCAGCAAGAGTTCAATTCCGCCAGGTAGCTTTGGGTCTTGGGTTCTGTGAACACATTTCGGGAAGGAGCTGGCAGCACCACAAAAATGGTTCTGTTGCGGGATGGTCGGGGTAGGTTAAAATTTCATCAGTGCACTAGAACTCAAGGAATTGTACTGGAGGGGCTTCGCTTTATATACATGGGCAGTCTTCATGGCAGTTACTGTAAGAAGTTAAGCCCTGTTGGACAGACCACCAGTGTACTACAGGTGGAATTTCAGGCCACCTTTCATTTGGCGATCCTCTCCGTACCTTCAAATCCTCGATGTGCCAAGAAGTAAGTCAGCCAGGATGACAGGCCAAATGTATTTCATATTCCTGATGCTGCTACTGAACATGCAGTGTAGCTTGGACGGAATGCTGACATACAGTGTATAGGAACATGTC